ACTGCTGTCCAGAGCGTCAACAGAGTGGTGCACTGTGGGATAGCTCCCGGAGCTATTAGCGTCGATTTCCATCCACACCTAGCCTAATTCGATATGGCCATGTCGAATTTAGCGCTACTCCTCTCGTTGGGGAGGAGTACAGAAGTCGAATTTAAGAGAGCTCTATGTCGAACTAAATAGCTTCGTGGTGTGGACGGGTGCAGGGTTAAATCGATGTAACGGCGCTAAATTCGACATAAAAGCCTAGTGTAGACCAGGCCTTAGTGTAGAAGTTTCGGGTTATCGGGGAATAACGTACAGATTATCAAGGGGTGCGAAGTTCGGTTTATGATCTTTTGGCCTAAGGAATACATAATCTGCAATATCCCCAATTGGGGGTAAAAGATTAGCGGGCCAAAGTACAGACATTGAGAGAGGAGGGTATGTTGTTCATAGAATGGCTATGTTCGGGTGTGGAGTATAATGAGTGGATACGATGATGAGGATGGAGTGACCCTCATTTGGGGAGATTTAACGTTCAGTGGGTTTATGGTTCCAGTTCATATGGTCCAACGGAGAAAGTTTCTCGGTCCCTTTCTCGTAGTCGATGCACAATGTCACTCCAGCTCACGCCTCCTGGTACTGTCGGTGGCCGGTGATGTGTTCGGTGTAGATGTCCCTGGACCATCGGCAGGGGCGGCTCTATGTATTTTGCCGCACCCAAGCACGGCAGTCAGGCAGCCTTCGGCGGCATGCCTGCGGGAGGTCCACTGGTAACGTGGATTTGGCAGCATGCCTGCAGGAGGTCCGCCGGTCCCGCGCCTTCGGCGTACCTGCCGCCAAATTGCCGCTGAAGCCGCGGGACCGGCGGACCTCCCGCAGGCATACCGCCGAAGGCTACCTGACTGCCGCCCTCACGGCGACCGGCAGGCCGCGGCTTGCCGCCCCAGGCACGCCCTTGGTGCGCTGGTGCCTGGAGCCGCCCCTGACCATCGGATGGTGTCTGAGACCATGGGGCGCCTCATGAGCCGTGCGTAGCGTCGACCGATCCTGCAGGTCCGCAGCACACGCTCGTTGCAGGGGTCCCAGGCACCCAGGGCTCCAACGATCAGGGTGTCCATCTGCCCCTCGAAGTCCTTCGCTCTCAGGGTGTCGGCCAGGGGAGCGTACTTTTCCAGCTTACGAAAGGTCCTGTTCTCAAAGGAGATTGTGATATTTACGTGCCAGATGTGCTAAAGATTCATATGTCCCTTCATGCTTGAACCACCCATCCAGAGGACATGTTTCCATGCTGATGACACTCTTTAAAAAAAATAATGCATTAATTAAATTTGTGACTGAACTCCTTGGGGAGAATCGTATGTCTCCTGCTCTGTTTTACTCGCATTCGGCTATATATTTCATGTTATGGGAGTCTCAGATGATGACCCAGCATGTTGTTCATTTTAAGAACAATTTCACTGCATATTTGACAAAACGCAAAGAAGGTACCAATGTGAGATTTCTAAAGATAGCTACAGCATTCGACTCAAGGTTTAAGAATCTGAAGTGCCTTCAAAATCTGGAAGGGACGAGGTGTGGAGCATGCTTTCAGAAGTCTTAAAAGAGCAACACTCCAATGTGGAAACTACAGAACCCGAACCACCAAAAAAGAAAATCAACCTTCTGCTGGTGGCATCTGACTCAGATGATGAAAATGAACATGCGTCGGTCCGCTCTGCTTTGGATTGTTATTGAGCAGAACCGGTCAGCAGCATGGACACATGTACTCTGGAACGGTAGTTGAAGCATGAAGGGACATATGAATCTTAAATATCTTGCGACGCCGGCTACAACAGTGCCATGTGAATGCCTGTTCTCACTTTCAGGTGACATTGTAAACAAGAAGTGGGCAGCGTTATCTCCTGCAAATGTAAACAAACTTGTTTGTCTGAACGATTGGCTGAACAAGCAGTAGGACTGAGAGGACTTGTAGGCTCTAAAGTTTTACATTGTTTTATTTTTGAATGCAGTTATTTTTGTATATAATTCTACATTTGTAAGGTCAACTTTCATGATAAAGAGATTGCACTATAGTACTTGTATTAGGTGAATTGAAAACTACTATTTCTTTTGTTTTTTACAGTGCAAATATTTGTAATCATAAATAAATATAAAGTGAGCACTGTGCACTTTGTATTCTGTGTTGTAATTGAAATAAATATATTTGAAAATGTAGAAAACATCCACAAATATTTAAAAGAATGATATTCTATTATTGTTTAACAGTGCGATTAATCGCACAATTATTCATGATTGATATTTTTTAATCGCATGATTAATTGCGATCATTTTTTTTAATAGCTTGACAGCCCTAATTTAAATTAAATACAGGTTCAATTTTTAAAAATAAACCTATTGTAAATTAAATTTGAAATTTAAGGCCTAAATTTATTATAATCTATTAAAATCATTTAAATTAAACAGAAAAAATAATATTCACCAGTTCTGCTTTGCTACCAAGCGTTAAAGCAAGTCAAACTGCTGAACTGGGGAAGTCACTGTCTAGGTACCTGGAACCAGAGTTTGCTGAAGTGGATCACTTGATGATTCCCTGTTCTGTTCATTCCTTCTGGGGCACCTGGCATTGGCCACTGTCGGCAGACAGGATACTGGGCTGGATGGACCTTTGGTCTGACCCAGTCTGGCCGTTCTTATGTTTTTATGAAGTGCTAACCCGGCTTTTGACAGCAGTAGCCTCTTCAGCAGGTGCAAAGAATATCTTCCTCATATCAGTTTATTTAACTCCTTAAAGTTCAATGACTAGTTCTTTCTTAGTTAAGAAGCAACTTGGGAGCTGGAAAAACAGAAAAGCTTGTTTTCCTCTTCCAGGTTTGAGAGGATGAGATCTGCTAGTCCTAAAATCTTGTGGAAAATGGTACCAGAAACCATCAGCTCAGGTCACTAACTACAAATACTTCCTTTGTTTTAATAAATCACTTTTAAATGTAAATATTTTTGATAAATGATTTTTCTTATGTATCCAGCACATTTAAAGTAGTTTTATTTTAACTAATACCAAAAAATGCTGGTTTTGCACATTTTACATTAATTTGAATTGCCTTCCAAGTAGAGCTTGATACAAATCACAAGTAAAAACTTAACCATCTAGTAAGTAAAAAATGCAACACTCACCATTTTCTAACTGGGATGGTCCTCGACATGCCAGCGTGGCCTAACTTTGGAGTGCATGACTTTGCAGCCATAATGTTCTTTCAACGTAGGGCTTTTTGTGTGTGACTGAATATGGAGGACTGTGGGAATCTCCCTGTTCTCCAGATCTGTCCCGGTGTCTAGGGGCCTGAGTCAACTCCCATTAAAGTCAACAGAGAGACGCCCATGGACTTCAGTGGGAGTTTGCTCGGGCTCAGTTTTGCGTGTTATTGTAAATATTGCTCCTGTGACCCAACCCCTAACTCCGGGACTGATTCTCTGCCTTTCTCACCCAGCCTGTCCAAGCTGGTGGGACAATGAAGCAAATAGGGTAAGTGTGTTTGTGCACATGTGCGAGTACAGTCCCTCATGGACACAGACGTGCCACGGTGCAGTCGGGGAGGTCTAGGTTGGATATTAGGAAACACTATTTCACTAGGAGGGTGGTGAAGCACTGGAATGGGTTACCTAGGGAGGTGGTGGAATCTCCTTCCTTGGAGGTTTTTAAGGCCCGGCTTGACAAAGCCCTGGCTGGGATGATTTAGTTGGGGATTGGTCCTGCTTTGAGCAGGGGGTGGGACTAGATGACCTCCTGAGGTCCCTTCCAACCCTAATCTTCTATGATTCTATGATACACTTACCATCGGCCTGAAATCAGTGGGAGCAGTTGGGCAGTACTGCCACACTCTACGGAGACAGACTCTGGCCCTCAGTTCGTATGTGGCTTTGGGGCCGTAGCCCGGCCCTTACCTCTGCCTTCTGCTGCAGCTTTCCATTGTTCTCCATGTTTCTCTTTTTTAGGAGCTGCGGAATCTGGTTTCTAAACATCCAAACCTGGTGATGGTGAAGCTAGGTATGTGCTCTGCCGCCGAACGATTCCCTGCAAGTCTGGGCGCTCCAGCTGTGGGACTGGCTGTTCCCCTCCTGGGCCTGTGCACTAGACTCCCCGAAAGCAGCTCTCACGTTCAGCTGCTAACCCCCAAAGCCACTCCTGTGTTTCTCAGCTCTCTGTGCACTGCTGCAAAGTCAGCTGTGCCAAGCTTCCTGAAACCCATCTGCCACTCAGGTCCGGGATCTCGTCAGCTGCCCCGGAATCTGCATGGGGCATATAAAAAGCTCAGGTTCTTTGGGAAGAGACTTGAGATTTTCCCACGGGGTGGCTTGGGGTCTCAGGAGGGGAGGCATGGCATAACTGGGGTTTCTCCAGGAAGGGTGGGGCTCCAGTCCTGGAGGGAGGGGTGCTCAGGGCTTCTCCAGGAGGGGGGCCTCAGGCAGAAGGAGTGAGGCCAGGGGGACTAGCCTCCCCGAAGGGGGGCTCCACCCGCCACCCATGGCTGTGCCTCTGTGGCGCTTCACTAAGGACACTGCTGCACTGTGGGGAGAGCGTCTCCCGTCAGCGTGGTTACTCCACCTCCGCGAGCGGCCCAAGCGGTGTCCGTGGAGACGCCCTCCCGCCCACATAGCGCTGTCCACACCAGAGGCTAGGCTGGTAGGACTGAGTCGCGCAGGGCGGTGGCTGAGCAGCGTGGTCACACCGATTGTGAGGTTATCGTGCAGACCTGGCCTGAGGCGCCGTGCATTTACACCAGGAGGTGCCCAGGGGGGTCCCAGATCCGGGTGTAGTGACTCCTGCACAGCGCTGCTTTGATGGCCCTCAGAGTGCTCATTGGTACCAGACAGGTGTGGTGCGCCAGCCTATGCGCTGCATTTATTTCTCCCAGCAGCAGAGCGCCATCTGGTGCCTGCAAGGAGATGGCAAGGTTAGTGCGTCTGTGAGGTAGAGCCCAAGGTCACTGCCAGGTGACTGGGTTTATCTAGGACCCAGACTTGCTTCTTGGCATCCTTCCCCTCATCCTCTCCTTCTGCGCTCCTCCTCTGGCATCCTGACAGCCTCCCCAGCCCGTTCACAGCAGGGAGAGTTCTTGCTTCCAAAAGGCTAAGTGCAGAAATGGTGCTTTACTAGCTGTGTTTGTCTAACCCTCCCGCTCCGTCCTGGCACCTCTGGGGATCTGCATGGATTGGAACTGCCCCATGGCTATTTCTCCAGCACAGGACCCATGAGGATAACTGCAGAGAGAAGGGACAGGGTCTCCCCCACCCCAAAGTGATGTGGAATCTGTGCTGTCCATGTCTAAGTTTCCAGCCCCCTTCCTTGGGTTCAGAGCCCCAGCTCTCATCTTAGCCGCGAATTCAGAGCACTGTCTGCACAGCTGGTTTGGGAACGCGGGCGCAAGACCAGCTAGCCCCAGTCTGTCGATCCAGGCGCGCTGCTGCAGGCTGCATGGACAGACGCTCAGGGTCTCTCCGGAGATGCTTGTCTGAGCAGCCGTTGCTCGGGGACTGAAGTGCCTATGGTGAGGTGAACACTCTGGAGTGCGGCTCACCAAGTGGGCTCACTGCACTGGAGGGCTAGCCTGCACCCCCAGGGATCTCAGCGCCTGTAACTCAACAAAGGGCTCTCGGTACCCCTAACCTCACAGCCCCTCCACCCTCTTCACAGACGCCGTGAATCCAGCAAGCATTGAGGAAGCAACCCGGAGGGTTGAGGAGCAGCTGGATGGCTCGGGCCTGAACCTGGTAATAAATAACGCTGGCATTTTCTCCGACGTGTCTCTGGCAACGGTGGATTCCGAAGAGATGCTGGGTGCCTACAAGACTAACGTGGTTGGGCCAATGTTGGTGGGCCAGGTAAGGCTGCAGTGGCCAGGATGCTGCTGCACTTCCAGGGAGCGGGTGTAAGGAGGGAGACCTCTGGAAGAAGGGGAGGGCTGAGCTGAGATATCAGCTGTGTCCATGGGACGGGGCGTACCCCCCGCACCAGCACCACCAGAGTTAGAGGAGCTGGAGAGGGGTGGTCACCTCCCCGAATGCACCTGGGGCCAGCCTGTGCTCAGGGGGCATTAACAGAGCAGAGGGCGGGCCCCTGGTGTAGGGAGAGAGCTGGGTGCTCATGCTCTCCACAAAGGCAGAGATGCAGGGAGTCGGCTCCTGAGGGGAGCCTGGAATTGGAGGGAGAATCAGGAGCTGCTGAGGGGTGACGCCTGCCTGAGCCCTGGGAAGGCAGAGAACGTTGCCAACCCTAGACTGTGGAGGGAGTGAGGCCCAGGCACCTGAGGAAAGAGGGGAGGTTGCTGCATTCTAGCCAAGGCTCAGCTGCAAGGGAGGGGGGCGGCCAACTGAGCCCCATTTGGACAGAAGATGAAATTGTCTCTGGATTTCTGCTGCACTTGTTAAAGGACTCGGTGGCCCCAGAAGGGGTCAGACATTTGCATGTGGCTGGGCCAGAGGATCAGGTCACGTATATAGCTGGAATGGGCCAAAAAACACAAGAGGGAAACTGAGGCGAAGTGGCTGCAGCATTCCATCGGGCCACCAGGGAGCGTGCTGGCGCGGCAACGGGCTACAGTCCGAGTTTTCTTTTTAGGGTGCACAGCTATTCGTGCAATTACGTCCCTCCTAGCGCCAGCTGAGTGAGTGCAGCGCCCGGACGGACCGGACCGGACCGGACCGGAGGGGGGGCGGTGCTGGCAGAGCCGGTCGGTCTCTGCCTGGCGGAGCGGCGGGAGACCCGAGCAGCGGGGTTCGGGGTGTGAGCGGCCCGGAGCCGGGCCCGGCAGGGAAATCACCCGGATCTGTGGGCCCCTCCCTGGGGCTGTGGGCGCTGGGCCCGTAACGACACCACGCGGCCCCACAGGCCTCCGCCCGGCCGTGTGTCGCGGGGCGTGCTGGGAGTTGTAGTTCGCACGCCAGGGCGTTCCGCCTGGGCCCTTGGACTGCTCCGCCCCCTGCACTACGAGTCCCACAATGCCCCGCGCCTGCGGCCAGCCGCCTCGGCGCGGGGGCGGCGGGAACGGACCCGCCAGAAAAGGAAGCGGTGCAGGGGGAGTGTCCCATTGCCAGCCACGGGCCCGCCTGGGTCTGTGCCCCCGGGCCGGGCCCGTGCCCCCGGGCCGGGCCCGTGCCGGGGGGATGGCCGGACACCCCCTGCACTGCGCGGAGCGGAGGGGGCAGTTGTGGGGCGAGTCAGCGTGCGACGGGGGAGCTGGCGGTGACTGGGGGGTAATAGTCTGGGTTGAAGGTGGGGGTGGGAGTAGAGGGAGGGAGGTTGAAGGTGGGGGGAGAGGGAGGGGAGAGTCTGGGTTGAAGGTGGGGGTGGGAGTAGAGGGAGGGAGGTTGAAGGGGGGGGTAATAGTCTGGGTTGAAGGTGGGGGTGGGCAGTAGCAGGGTAGGGGGAGATTGAGGAGAGCCCTTGTGTGAAGGTGGGGGTTATTTGTGTGGGGGGGGTGGGGACAGTAGGATGGACCGGACGGCTGGGTGGGGGGAGCCCAGGTGTGAAGGTTGGGGTAGGGGCTTGGCTTGAGGCTGGATTGTGGTAGCTTTGGTGGTAATGTCTGTGTGTCTCTCTCTCTCAGTGGCCCTTGCTCCCAGCAAAAGATGAGCACCAGCAATTTTGCTCCTCACACTCCACCCCAGTAACTTTACTGGCTCACTTGCCTCACCGCCCCTCATGACTGCAAAGGGAGAAATAGGCTAAAAACTAACTTTTTAAAAAGTTTTGTAAACATTATTGCACCAAAGTGGAAAATCCAGTTTTCAAAAAATGTATTTATGAAATGTAACTTGGGTGGAGGTGGGGAGATGCAGGTGCAACTCCACTGATTGCTGCATCCAGGCTTAATGTGGCTCATAAATGTGCTAGTTAAGCACAAGCAGGCCCTGAGTGTTTAAACAAAAAAGACAAAACTAACAGACAACACCCCTCCCACACAAATAAACCAAATTCAAGAGTATTCTGGGTATTTTGATGCTAGCCGAGTTTGTTTTCTATGGGCTGAGTGCAAATCTCAATCAACTCTTATTTTGTTTAAATAAAACTTTTCATCCCCATCCCAGCAGTACCGAGTATACTATGGTGTCATCGCACCAGGCCACACTTAGAAGGGGCCGGGGCCCATAATAACTACATGGGGGCCCACAAATATGTTTGGCGCCAGGCCCACAAAAGGTTAATCTGGCCCTGGTTGTCAAAAGTACTTTATACAGGTGCCTGTGTTCCCGATGGGAAACTGAGGCACAAGAAGGCATATTGGATGTGCCCAGGGTCACATAAGTCAGTGGCAAAGCCAAGGATAGAGCCCAGAACTCTGCATTTGGTCCTGTGCTCCCCCTTCATGCGTCACCTAGCGCGGGGCTTGGGAGTGCTCTCGGGGGGGGGTTGCTCGGGGGGGGGGGGGGAGGAAGAGCCCAGAAGTTTGAGGCTAATTGAAAACCCTCCTTTTCTGGTCTGTGCTTCCCCCTGGGCTACCTGGGACTGTGTTGGATGGAGCTAGCTCTGAGAGCGAAGGGGTACTACCTCCACACAGACCCCATGGGACCGTCTTCCCGCCAGGCGTTCCTGCCCTTGCTGAAGAAGGCTGCCCAGGGAAGTAGCCAGAAAGGGCTGAGCTGCAGCAAGGCAGCCATTGTCAACATCTCCACTGTTCTGGGATCCATCGAGAGAGTCCCTGAGACGTTCTCCAACCCAGCCATCTCCTACCGCTGCAGCAAGGTACGGCCCTGAGCCTGGATCCCAGGGGCAGTGGTATCCCCTGCTCATGTACGCTGCTATTCCAGCTGGGCAGTGTCCAAAGGCAGTGCCGGTGGGCAGGACCTTGCAGGATGTAGCTGTGGGGCTCTTGGTTTTTACGTGCTGTGCCTTTAACATGCTCAGAGCTCTGGGGATGGCCTCACCGCAGCACTGAGCAGGCGTTTTGGCCTTAGTGTCGCTACTGCCTGTCACAGGAGCCGCACACACTATGCTCTCTCCTGAGACCGTGCAGCTGCGCCTGGGTGTGTGGGAACACAGCCAGTGCGAGCGCATGGTAATGCCCTCGGCTCACGAGCCCTTCCCCTGCAGGCTGCTCTCAACATGCTGACCCAGTGCCAGGCGCTGAGCTACGCAGAGGACGGGATTCTGTGCGCTGCAGTTCACCCCGGCTGGGTGCAGACAGACATGGGCACCCAAGAGGTGGGTGTTGGGTCCCTGGGAGCAGCAATTGCGGCACGGGGGAGGGGCTGGGGTTCGGGAACCTCCCAGCGTACAGCAGCTGTCTGCAGCAGTACATGAACTGATCCCTGCCTCCGGTGATGCCTGGGCCTTTGAAGTAAGCCTGTGCAGGTCACGACCTACAACCTCGTGTCCGGCCTTCCAGCTTATCCAGTACACACTACCCACCATGGCCCAGAGCTGCAAGCCAGAACCACGGGTGCCTGATCTGCCCGCACACCCGGTGTGTGTGTGTGTGGTACCTATACGTGTAACTGACCAGTCACCTGTGTGCACACCTGCCAACTGTGCACACGCTCGTGGCTCTGCAGCTGGGCCATAGGAGCACATACAGATAAACTCCCACGTCTGCGAGCGTGGGCGTATGCACGTGCAGGAAGCGTGCCCAGGCCTGACTGTATGGGGTGACTTGGCCCCAGAGAACCAAGTCCAGCTTCCATAGGTGCTGGAACTTCGGATGCTGGGGGGCTGCCATACCTCCTGGCTTGAAGTGGTTTCCATCATATCCAGGGATTACAGTTTGGTTCAGTGGCTCAGCCCCCCTCACTGTACACTTTGTTCCAGCCCCCGGCCAGCCTGTTGACTTCTGAATTTCCTGGACTGTTGCAGGCCGACCTGCCCGTGGATGAAAGCGTGCGGGGGATTCTCACCGTGCTTCCTACCCTCTCCGAGAAACACAGCGGGAGCTTCTGGAGCTGGGCAGGGAAGACTATTCCCTGGTGAGAGAGCAGCACGGTACGTGGGCTGAGAGCAGTGCACCGGGTGCCAGAAGTCCTGCGGCCCGAGAGGGGAGGCCATGACCTCAGGCAGTTCCCGGCTGCACATGCTCCATGGACGGTGGGTTCCACACAGTCAGTGTGATCCGCAGATGGGCCCATGAGCTCCCTGTAGCTGAGTCACTAATAAATACCCTGAGACACAGACAGTGCCAGTCCTCTCTCTTCTCCCAGCAAGCCCCAGGCTCCCCTGCAGATGGGGTGTCTGCCCTGGCCCCTCTCTGCCTGCTCTCCCAGGACTCCAGAGCCCAATTCACATCACCTGTGCATGTCTGTATGTGCACTTACCACTTGGCCAAACGGGGGAGCTGCACACGTGCGTGACTGGTCAGGTACGCAGCTGCTCAGGAACCTGGTGGGTGGAGAGTGCTGGCTTGGGGCTGGCAGAGGTGGAGGCGCATTTCTCTGCCACAACCATCTAGGGTTAAAACTTGCCTTTTCTCTCCCCCTCTGACGTGGACCCAAAGAGCCTGTCCTCTGATGCGGCTGGGCTGCCCTGAGCTAGAGCCAACACACGGCTAGGATTGGCTGGGCTCAGAGCCCGAGGGGCAGCCTACAACTCACAGTCCAATGGCAGTGGTGGGGGGCAGCTAAGTTGACTGTAAGCCACCTGTGCGCCCCCTGATCCTGGGCTGCTCTGGGGCTGGAGAGGCCCCTGGTGGGAGTTAGACAACCTCTGGGTGCTGAGTTCCAGCAGCCTCCGTGGGCTGCTCCATAGGTTACATTGCTGCATCCCCTCCCCAGCACTCCCGTCTCCCCACCAGCCCTGCCTGCCGCCTGGCCTCTTTGCAAGGGATTCCATGGAGGAACTGCTGTGGCTATAGGGTCCTTAGAGGGGCTAACATGAGACTCCCAAAATAACCACGCCCCTGCCATCCGACCTAGAGCTGTTGCTTTTTCCACACAGGCACTTGCTGCCATGTGGGACTAGAGTTTGGGCCCATGACCTCTCTGGGACGGAGAAGGGGCAGGCTCCCGCATGCTGGCTCTGAGAGGGGCAGCATGCCGCTAAGTGTGACAAATGCATTTGGAGCCCCAGCCGGCCCTGCAAAAAGCGTCGTTTTCCAAGCTTGGGTTTGTGGCAGCAGACAGATTCTGTGCATTGGGGTTATGACAAATGCCAGGTGAACCACGGGAGACCTCAGTGGATGTTCCAGGGAGATGGCTAGGAACGTGGGCCGGCCTGAATCGCTGGCCCAGCTGGCCAGGGATTTTGTTACAGAGGCAAGTGAGAGCCAGGTTACGGCAAGCATGGAGCTCAGACTGGAAACCTTGCTGCCCCAGCTGGCCCCAATCCTGCAAAAATCTAGTGGGGGTGGCGCACGTAATTCCCCAAAGCACCTTTGAAAATCCCCGGCGAAGGCCTCTTCTCCGCCCCTGCTCTGCCGCAGGAGGTGCCTGAGGCGAGGGCAGGACCGGCCCCTGCACACGGGGCAGGGCCAGTCCAGCTGCTGTTGAAGAAGGGGGGGGGGAAGGGCTTGTGCCTGGGAGGTGCGAGGCCTGCGTGCAGCAATGTCCTGAGCACTGAGCCGGCAGGGGGCGGGGTTCATCCTTCATTGCTCTGAAGTGCATGGCATGGCCAGCTGCTGCCTGCTAACACCCTGGAAAGGAAATGGCTTCCTCGGGTTTTGGCCAGCCACAGGGAACTGATGCTGAGTTTCCACAGCAGGGGAAGCTGGAGCGGAGCTCCCTTGCTTGCTTCCTGCCCCCGCTGTGAGAGGATTTAACCCTGCAATGGCTGAATTAAAAGGGACAAGGAGCTCGTGGCGGCAAACCAGGAATAACTTTCCTCAGTTAGACTAAGCAGCCAGGCCTTGGTCAAGCCCCGAGGACTCGGCTCACTCCTCTGCTGCTAGCGTCTTTATTAGAGAAGGCTGCGAGTCTCCTTTATAGCCCACAAGGGAGTGCTGCAGGGCAGCCTAGCGGACAGAGCACTGCACTGGGACTCAGGGAGCTTGGCTCTGACCTGGGCAAGTCGTTTTCCCTGCTCTGTGCCCAGTTTCCCCTTCTGTGAAATGGGGAGGTGGCCAGGTGCCCGGTTTACAAGTCCGCTAGCAAAGGGGAACTTTTTCCAAAGTTCGGTAACTGCAGGTGAGGGGGAGGTGCCGGGTCATTGCCCAGACCAGCCCCTCCTCAGCCTGGGTTGCCTCCTACTTGCACTAGGCGGCTGGAGCTCCCAGCCCCGGCTCTGCATCCACCCTGATCGAATTGGCTCTGTTAACACTGGTTCTCCACTTGTGAGGTAACTCCCTTCTCTCCATGTGTCAGTATATAACGCCTGCAGCTGTCACTTTCACTCCATGCAGCTGAAGAAGTGGGTTTTTTTACCCACGAAAGCTTATGCCCAAATAAATCTGTTAGTCTTTAAGGTGCCACCGGATTCTTTGTTGTTTTTGTGGATACAAACAAGCTACCCCCGATACCTGACAGATGGGCCTGGGGCTGTGCTGAGTGGGACTCAACGGTTCTCTCCTATTCACCGCGGTTGCTCTGAGGTTCACTCCTGTCTCAGTGAGAGGTGCCTCATTCCCAGCTAGACCGCAGCACGCGACGCTGCCAGCACAGGTCACTGGGAAGCGGGGGATAAACAAGGCGGAGAGGGACCCTCGGCCGCACAGATGCATCCAGTAAGTGCAACAAAGGGCTCAGCTTTTTCCTCTTGGCCTTAGCATCTGTCAAAACAAACGGGGCTGAGCCAGGGACTCGGGACACGCTGGTTTCCTTTGCTCTGCACCATTCCAAGGTCACAAAGCCCGTGAGCCACCCAGCTTCCCAGCCCGGCCCAGCCCCTTTGGCCTTTGCGCACATTTGCTTTTTCTCTTTATCGGAGGCTGTTTTTCTGCCCGACGCCGTGGAGCTGGCTGCAGTAGACCCAAGGGACATGGATCCCCGAGGCTGGGTGGACCCCCTTGGTGAGCTAATTACCATAGATAATACTAGCTCCACCCCTAAACACTATGTATCCCCTACACACATACACTGAGATAGCACTAGCTGTCTATAGAGGTACATGGTGTTTAGGGATGGAGCAAGTGCTATTCTGTATATGTGTGATGGGGTACATAGCACTAGCTCCGCCCACTAATTACTATCTCTAGGGCGGATATCTGGTGATTGGGGCGGAGCCGGAGC